CTGCCATTCTGACATTCTTGGGGACATTATTTGTCCCAAAGAATATATATATATATATATAAAGGAGAAGTAATACAAAGACCTATCGAAAGCAAAGATAGTACCAATAGGTGCCTTGGGGTAATTCTAAAACATCTGGACCCCACTTGAACATTGACAAAACCACCATCGGTCAATTGAAAAAGGCAACTTCACTTGGAACAGCTTATGTTCTGTGACAATACGCCTATCCCAATATCAATAAAAATATCAAAGACAGTCTAACATCTGGCGGACTGTTGCAACCAACAATAATAATGAGACATTAGTTATCCTGAGGGCACCGTGCAAACAGAGAGAGGCCTGCTTTAAGAGCATTTGATTCAGACATTTGGGCAAACGACGATTGGTGAGGGTGGTGGGAGCAGCCTAGAAAAAGAGAGACATTGCAAACTATTGCTTTGCTAGTACACTGTCATACTCAAGATGCACCTCAAAATTTTTGAGATTGGCTTATGGATGAGTTTTGAGGCTGATGGTTATGACTGCTGTATGTTTAGATATTGTAGCTGTGGGGCTTTCAAAATGTGGTAGATAAGCATTGCTTGCAAAAGGAGCTATTCATTAGTAAGATTGATCACTGTCTATCTTCAAATATTTTAAAAGTTAAGACTAGCCTTTTCCAACTTGGTACTTTCTAAGTAGGATGCAACTTCAAGTCAGCACATTCCTAGGCTGCGGGGCCATTCTTCCTGGAGACTCTGGTTGTTGCAGTGCCATGCATGTTAGAAAACAGCAGGTTAGGAAATAGGGAATTAGTAGATTGAAATAATGTATTTTTAGTAAGATGAAGTAGAGAGGTGTTGGATAGAATAATTTCCAAGCGAAAGATTGGAAATTAACTCTGGCTTTTCACTCTTCCCAAATAACTGGAACAGAGTCTGTTACTTTAAAGAAATTGATAAAAGAATGTTCCAAATAATATTTCTAAATAATGAAAACAGATCAAGCTTTTCAAAAGTATGTGGCACAGTTGCCTTGGAGGGACAAGAAATTTGGTCTTGGTTCACATGCATCCTGTCAAGATTGCTTGGGAGTAGAGAAAGAAATACACTTAAAATGTTCCAGAATGATTTGATATTCATAATCTGGTACTTTATTGGGCAGGTGATCTGTTTGTACCTGCTGGAAAGAGACCAAGAATTCAGATAGTAATCATTATCTTGACATTTACATTTGGTCCCTATATTGAACACAAGGCCATCTCTATATCCTCCATCTTGTAGGAGATCATTAAAGTAAGTGTATGTAATTTTGGGGCCACCACCAGGTATACCTATTGTCAGGTAAATGTACAATGTGTCCTGCCTACTTAGATTAGATTTTTATGCTGTTTTTATGTCATCTTTGAAGGTAGTCCATTGCTGAGACATCTTTGAAGTTAATCCATTGCTGAGCTGAATTTCCTTATTTGTGAACTAATCTCTGAGTGAGATCTCTAGCTTTCATATTTCCATTGCATGTTGTATGGCCCCAAGCTTTTCTGTTTCATATCTTTTATGGCTAGAAAAACCATGGTGTTGAAAGCGCTTGCTCTTGCCCTGGCATTGCCCATTTGTTGGGAGGATTGATTTTACACAATTAAAGCTGAGCCATGCTGCTATTCTAATGCAATATTTCTTTGTCAATTTTGTGTACGCTATTGATTTTGTGGTCAAGATAGAGGTAAAAATTTACCTCTTCTATCTGCTCTTTTCCAAGTTTCATTTCATGGTATTGACAGAATGAGTTGTAGATATGATACATAGCTTTGGTTTCTATTACAGATAGTCCTTCACATATCATCATTGGTTCAGCAACTGTTCAAAGTTAGAACAGTGCTAAATCAATTATGATTATGGACTGGATAGCCTGGTTATCCCAGCACCCCTGTGGTCACATAATTGCAATCTGGGTCCTTGACAACCAGCTAACACATGTGACAGGTTGCAGTGTCTTGTGATCTCATGATCACCATTTGCAACCTTCCCTGCCGTTTCCCCAGAACATCAATAGGGAAGCCAGCAGAGAAGGTGACAAGTTGCTGGACTAAGTCTTTCTCATTTGGGCACCCTCCCTTTCTGCTTGCACCACACTGGCCATATGTGTACCCTTCCTCACCTTTCCTTGCACCTTCATCTGACAGCAGTCACTCTGCTTGCTTGCGAGTCGCCTGGGAATTGCAATTTCCTGCTAGCTTCCCCACTGACTTGGCTGTGGGAAGCCAGCAGGAAGTTACCTTCCCTAACAACTGTGGGATTTGGTTAACAATAGCAACTAGAACTTCAGGGAATGCCATCACTAAGCGATGCAGTTGTGCTGTAACTCAGTGGAGCAGCACATGTGCAGAAGTTACAACAGCGTTTTGATCTGTCTATAGAGGATCAGAGCCAAACGGCTCGTCTTTTGCACCTGGCTTGAATCCTCTCTGCAGAATCTCGTATCTGTGATGAACTTCCTTCATGAAGAAAACTGTGGTTAGATTGTTCTTGCCATGAAAGAAGTGTTTGTGGAGAAATCTAGGAAACCCAGTTTGTTGTGGTTTAGCCACACTGTCTCATGATGCAGCAGCAAGCATGCCTGCTAGCTAGCAGATGTGCCACGGAAATATTATCTCAACAAAGGGATCAGATGCTAGTGCTCTTGTCTGCATTCCTGTCTGCCCATTTTGTCTGACAGATCTTCTCTAAACAGTTCATTGAAGAGGTTTGGATAATGGGGCAGTTTGTTGTGTTTGTTTATTGTGCTGGTTTGGTTGAACAGCTTTCTCAAGTCATGCAATGAAGATTCTTCATAGCAGGATCTCAAGCATCCCATTCTCCAAAAAATATTAATGGTTTTTTAAATTGTTTTTAACTGGCATTTAATGAAAGCTAGGGCAGGATATCTAGTTTGGTTGGCACTGATGCTACATAAAATTCATTGCAGCAAATTTTGCCTGAGATTTCTGCTTGTGTTAGTTAATCTACCATGTTTCTTATATAATAAGGCCAGGTCTTATTTTATTTTTTTTTGAGCCCTGAAAAAATGGCTAGGACGTCTTTTTGGGGGTGACTTAATTCCCCCCCCCTTGCATCTTTGGGTGGGCGGGCGGCGACTGCTTGGATGTTGACCTCGGTGTTGGTGGGGCACTTCATATCGGGGTCAACGCAGGCAGTACCATATCCAGGTGTGCAACAAAAGTATTTCCTAATGGCAAGCCCCCCCTACCATTCCCCCCCATTTCGCATGTTTTAATATAGGCCTTAATTTGGGGGGAGGGGCTTAATTTCATTTCATGCCTATAAAACATGCTGGGACTTCCTATTGGGGGAGGCTGTATTGTTGGAGAAACAGGGTAGTTAGTGAGATTTCCTTTCCTTTCTACCTCAGTCCTCTTGTGATGTGGGAACACTGAAAATAGTTCCTTTTGAATTGACTATTGGTTGTCTGAAGGTCTATCCTTTGCTGCTTAACCTAAAAAACATTACTAAACAACTGGGATTTTGGGCAAGTCCTGAAGGAAGTATAATTAAAGAACTTCACTTAAATATGTCTTTGCAGTCTGAACTGACTATTCTGACAAAGCTTCCAGGATTAAAAAATATTGATATAAATCTTCTTGAATGCAATTGTGATTAAACTCAAGATTTGTTTGAGTTAAATATTTAGTCAAATAAATCCCTATCGATTGCTTCCTTTTAGATACTGTAATCTTTATTTAAATGGTTCAGAGATGTGAAACTATCTTTAAAAATCCTTAAGTAGTTAACAGTACAAACTGAAATTCTTCCCATTTTCTTCAAGGTGAAGACTAGTTCTAGAAGATTCCAGAAAGCACATTTTATCGAGTCATTTCATGTTACTGGATATATACAAGCTTCCCAGAACTCTGAACAGCTTAACAATAACTCTTCCTTCTCTGATTACGGATGATCTGGCCAAACCTCTGCTAATACTTGCTCTGAATACAGAAAAATAATACGATTGTTTACCATTCGCTTACATGACCTTAGAGATCAACCTCCACTGAAGAACAAAAAAAAAATGAGTTCCGGGTGCTGTTTTAAAGAGCCATTAGAATATTTTCTTATGAGAAATAGAAAAAGGGAAAATAAAAGGGAAAAGAAAGAGATGGAAGTAAAGCAATAAACTAATTCCATAGACAGAGGAGACACTTCTTTTTGGCACAAGTTAGTACCAAAAGCAGTTGATGTTAGTAAATACATAATCTGCTTTTAAAAATTAGACAGATTTATTATTGATACGTTTACCACAGAAGATCTCCATATTCAGAGAATATATGTCAAAACTCTGAATTGCCAGAGGGAAGGAAGAGTGAATGACTAGAATTGTAAAATCTTATAAATGGTCTAGTTATCAGCTTCTGTTAGTTTTTCGCTAGCTGCTTCTAGGGAGAAAGTGTAATACAGGAAGAAATAGCAATTCTTAGCCTTTTGTAAACATGACAACACCAAGGTAAAATTACCGACAGTCGCTGTAGTGAACATACAGGTAGCCTCTTGACTTACCAACACAACTGAATCCAAAGTTTCTGTTGCTAAGCAAGATGTTAAGTGAGTTTTGTGCCATGTTACAGCTTTTCTTTCCACAGTTGTTTAAGTGAATAACAGCAATTGTTAAGTTATAACATGGTTGTTAAGTGAATCTGGCTTCCCCGTTGATTTTGCTTATCCAGAGGTCGAAAAAGGTGATCCCATGGTTCCAGGGCATTGCAACCATCTTAAATACATGCCAGTTGCCAAGAGTCTGAATTTTGATCACGTGACCATGGGGATGCTGCAATGGTCATAAGGGTGAAAAATGATTATGTCCCTTTTTTCAGTGCCGTCGTAACTTCAAGTAGTCGTTAAGTGAATGTTTTTAAATAGAGAACTACCTGTACTAGATAGTTATATGTGATTTTGTTCCAAGTATATGAAAACAACCCTGTCCATTTTAAGTGTATCATCTTTCCTTTCTTTCTTTCTTTCTTTTTTTAGTGGGATCTGGTCTGTGACTCTGCCTGGAAAGTTCACATTGCGAAGTTTTCCCTGCTTGTAGGTTTAATCTTTGGCTACCTTATAACAGGATGTATCGCTGATTGGTAAGTTTAACTAAAACATGACAAAATTGCTCTCCGTGAGGAAATGCCATTTTCCTCATCTCTGGTGATGTTTAAATATTTTCCATATGTTTCCATTTCAATGCACAAAAGCCCAGAATTTCAGACCCACAGGGGAGGAATGGATTTTAAAGAATTAGCAGGAATAAGAAAAAAGGACCTGTCTTGTTCAGGATAAAACCACAGGTTGCTGAAAATGGGAAAAAGTGAAATGGTGATTTCTGTATTTTTTGATTGAAAAAAAGGGTCGAACATGCGATGGAATATCTGTAATATAATTTTAAAGAGGGACAAGGGATAATAAATTCATTTGCAATTGTGAATAAGATCAAAAGTCACTTCTTTAACTATCTTTTTCTTCTTTTCTTTCTTCTAATTGGTTCTGCACATATTTTCTCACTGGTTTATAAATTTTTACATCTAGGCTTTATCGATATAAAAATCTTCAGTAACATTTATGCACACATACACAAGCACAGTATTTCACAAATGACTTGCCATTGATTGGTACTGTTGCTGTGCTAAATAAAGTAATTTTAAAGAATAAAAGGCATTTGAGATAATGGGGATGGCTTAAGCGGGTGTGCTTGAATTAAAGCTACCTTCAGCTCTATTTTATGTTGAAATTCAGCTTCCAATATCTCCCAGCTATTGAGGTACTTTAGAGAAAATAGAAATATTTTATATATATTTTTCAGCCATGACTTGTTTGGGAATGTAGAATGTTGTACATTCATACATGTCTGTATGCAATTCAAACAACTTTTATACCACTTGTTGCTATGCAAAACGGATACAGGATTTATATTTGCAGCTCCTAATGCCAGGAGTCCTGCATGGGCAAAAATTCGCCAGCTCCAGTTCCACATGTTTCCATTTGCCTTGCTGTCATAGCTTGACACTTCCCCAGATAGGCTTTTCGAATTGATAATTTGGCCAAGCAGCTTTTCAATGAGCTTGTTTTGATCAAGAAGTTAATGGGAAGGGAAGATGCATCAGTGTAATATTAACTGAAGCCCATTCGATGTGCCTTATACTTACTTTATTTACTCAGAATTATATATTCATCAGCAATCATCAGAAAATCATCCAAATAAGATGCTTGTATTTTCTTCAAGTTTTATAGGATTAATGGTGATTAACCTAATGATGATTTTGTGATTTGAATTGGGTAAACAATATCATTTTTTTAAAAAAAATATCATGATTTAGAGGTTTGATAGGAGCATTTTACAGTTGCTTGGTAACCGGCAGAGACTGTGTTTTATTAAGCATGTAGATACCTGAATATGGATTAGACATTGGGGCTTTTTATCTGGATAATGGCTGCAGTCTATCACAGGGTTGTCATAAATGTCATTTTTACCTGCTTCCGCTTCCTAGCTAGATCTGGCTGATTTGGAAAGCAGGCTATTTTAGGGACTAGATATTTTTTTATTTCCTTAAAAACAAAAACAAAAACCAACCAAAACAAATTATTTCCTAAAAATCCTTTTAGAGTTGGTCTGTGGGTAGATTAGAGTTAATTATGTGGCAAATGGATGTTTAAGAAACGATAATGTTAAGTAGGTTTATTCTAGCATTTTTTAAAAATACTACTGAGTTGGTTATGTAAAATACACCAACACAATTCACTGGCTGCTTGATGCAATTCCATAGGTTTTGGAAAAACAACACAAAAAAGGATATTATACAGGCTTAGTGTTTTTTTCTGTTTTTATTTTCACCATTCACTAACACGTTTTCTTTCTTTTTAATGTTTTCATTAATGTTTTCATTGAACAAGACAATTTCATATTTTAGAAAAACTTTAAAAAGTATAGTGCTGTAAATAGTAATCCTAAGAAAAATGTGGTATGGGATTTATCTAACCACCTACAAATATATCTGCCGAAGCAACAGGACTTCTGCTACTTCTCCTCTCCGTTTCTCTAGCATTCCTCAGATTTTCTCCAAAAGACCTCTCAATATTCTGGAGGAAATTTGGTGAGGTTTGTGGTAAGTTGAGAGGGCAAAGAAAGAATTTCTTTTGGTGGTATATTCTATACTGCCAGGAGAAAGCCATTATTGGCTATAAAGCCATCATCTTTTTCAAAGTCAGGTTTTGATCCAAATATTTATAATCCACCAATTTTCTGCCAGTATCTCCAACATTATATTTATGAGCATCATACAGCTTCCTTTTCACCTTCTAGATGCCAGCACTTTTCAGTTGTTTAAAGGTTTATTTTAAATAAAATTAAAAGGGAAGTCAGTATGTTCTAAAGGAAAGAACCAACCTCCAATCATATTTATTGCAAAGAATTCCTTTGGATTCCACACTGATTCTCATAGATCCAGGTAATCCTCATTTAACCACGATTGGGCCTGGTAAATCCATTGCTGAGTGATGCGATCATTATGCAAATAGCCATATGACCACACCAGACTTATGATATTACCCACAGTCATTAAGTGAGACATGTGACCACAACTTAAGATGTTACCACTGGCTCCTCTACCAACTCTGCTTGTTGGAAACCAGCTGTGAGCCTTGCAAATGATGATCACATGACTGAGGAACGCTACAGTGGTTGTAAGTGCAAGGACAGTTTGTAAAGTTACCTTTTCAGCATCATCTTAACTTTGAACAGCCACTAAACAATGCAGTTGTTAAAGTAAACAATGTGTTTCTTAGAAAATAAAAATGTTGAATAATTGATTATCTGTAAATAAGAGGAGAAAAGAGAACAGAACAGAACAGAACAGAATAGAATTCTTTATTGGCCAAGTGTGATTGGACACACAAGGAATTTGTCTTGGTGCAAATGCTCTCAGTATACATGAAAGAAAAGATACACTCATCGAGTCAAGAATCATAAGTTATAACACTTAATGATAGTCATAGGGTACAATAAGCAATCAAATCATACTAGGAAACATTCCATATAAATTGTAAGGATACAAGCCACAAAGTTACAGTCATACAGTCACAAGTGGGAGGGGATGGGCGATAAGGAGTGATGAGAAGATTAATAGTAATACAGACTTTGTAAATAGTTGGACAGTGTTGAAGGAATTATTTGTTTAGCAGAATGATGGCGTTTGGGAAAAATCTGTCCTTGTGTCTAGTTGTTCTGCTGTGCAGTGCTTTATAGCATCATTTTGAGGGAAGGAGTTGAAACCATTTATGTCAGGGATATGAGGGGTCTGTAAATATTTTCACATCCCTCTTTTTGACCTGTGCAGTATACAGGTCCTCGATTGAAGGCAGGTTGGTAGTAATTGTTTTTTCTGCAGTCCTAATTACTCTCTGAAGTCTGTATCTGTCCTGTTGGGTTGCAGAACCAAACCAGACAGATATAGAGGTACAGATGATAAACTCACTAGCTGCCTCCCCCACCAAAAAAAGAAAAAAAACCATTTTCTTTGTGTGCCCCACAGCCTGGTCTCAAAATATGAAATACAGTAGTCCTTGACTAATCACTACAATTGAGCCCAAAATTTCTGTTGCTAAGTGAGACAGCTGTTCAGTGAGTTTTGCCCCATTTTATATCCTTTCTTGCCACAGTTGGAAAAGTGAATCACTGCAGTTGCTAAGTTAGTAGCATAGTTATTAAGTTCCCCATTGACTTTGCTTGTCAGAAGGTCACAAAAGGTGATCGCTGATGGTTGCAGCGTCCCAGTAATCCTGGGATGCTGCAATCGTCATAAATATGAATCAGGTGCCAAACATCCGAATTTTGATCACGTGACCATGGGGATGCTGCAACGTTCATTTGAAAAATGGTCGTAAATCAATTTTTTCATTGCTGTTGTAACTTCAAACAATCATTAAATGAAAGGTTGTAAGCGGAGGACTACATGTCGAGCAAGAAGATTGGAGAGTCCTGATCTTGATTAGAGGTGGAGAATCTCTGGCCTTCCAGATACCACTGAGTTACAGTTTCTCAAATCCCTTAGTTTTAACGATGCTGACCAGAACTCCTGAGAACTACAGTTCAGCAACGTAAGAAACCTCTGCAGCATTTTCATGCTTGTTGCATAAAATGAGGGTGAAGCAACAAATAAAAACAATTGTGCTTTTAAAAAATTATTATTGTTGTAATTATTTGGAAGGAAAAGAGAAAAAAAGAGGGAGGGAGGGAAGGAAGGAAGGAAGGCTCACAAACATACACCTCTTGTACCAAATAAATCTAGTTCTATGTAAATAATATGTTTTAGAATTAAATTGGGGAGATAATTGCCTGATAATTTCCCTTTGGTAAAATGGTTGTTCATAGAAGGAGGGTTAGGTTTCTCTGACCTTTATATAACCAGATAAAGAACAGAATCCCTTTCACTCTTTCAGTGTCAATTATTTTGCAATTATAAAAGCAGAGAATAGTCACTTCTATTGTCCTTCTGTTAATTTACAGAGAGTTAGAATAAAGTCCAGAAGATTATAAACATCTCTAAACAAAACTAAAAAAAACCCCAACTGATTCTTCCAGAACAGACTGGATCCACATGTCTATTGTGTGGAAGGCTACCATATTTGTGACATTATTTATTCCCAATTGTATTTCATGACATTCAATTTTTGGGGCCAGGAAAGCTTGGTTTTGAAGGGATACATATAATCATTGAAAAAAAAAAAAACTAGAAGCAATAGAATATCAGCCAAAGTTCAACATTTTAGTCAGGTTGAACATTTTTATGCAGGTATTTTTCAAAAGATATAAGAGGGAACAAGCTTCTTCAGACGTATTCTCTTCCTCCCTCCCCTTTTTATATGTGGTATTTTTCATACCACAATTTATATTCTACATAGAGAAGCTCCAAAATCAATTTATATAATTGTTTTTTTTTTAAATACACCCAATCTGAATCACAAATCTCCAGTGAGATGCTGTCCCCAAAACATTTTGGGAATATTTTGACAGAAAGGGTTAACAATCATCAGCTCTTTGAAATCGGCTGGAGAACATTGTGCTGAATTCTAATTTGCGAATGGATAATATGGAAGATGTAACACATAAATACACATTTCCTTTTGTTCCTCTTTTATTTTGACAGGGTTGGTCGTCACCCAGTGCTGCTCTTCTCAGTGTTGCTCATCTTAATATTTGGACTGACAGTGGCCCTCTCAGTGAATGTGACCATGTTCAGCACACTCAGGTTTTTTGAAGGGTTTTGCCTGGCTGGAATAACCCTTTCCTTGTATGCACTACGTGAGTATTGTCTTCAGAATACATCTTGGATATCTTTGTAAAAAAAAGTTTACGTTATAAGCCTCATGTCGTTGTTGGTTGTGTTTTTGTATGATTATGCTTACATGAATTACTCAATTTCTTCTTGTGTCATATTACTGAAAAACCTAGTCAAACTGGCTGGTGCAGCTATGGTGTTAGGCAGAACACCAGAATAAGCGATGCAGAATGAAGATAACCTAAGAGTGGGGAAGATACTCTCTTGGATCACATTTAAACTAACCAACCAAGTATGGCAAGTTAGATGCTCTGGGGAATATGTGGGTAGGGCATGATTATAGACTATATAAGATGCCTTTCCCATCTCGTCATTAAAAATAATTACACATTGAAGCCAAATGCCTTTTTCATTGGCCACTGCACCAAAACATATATCGATTGCAAGTAGGCTGAAGGCCAACATTTCACATTAAAACTTACTGCGGAGTTGCTTTGGGAAAATACTGTGCACCCAGATCTCCAAGCAGTCTTTAGACAACATGTTCTGAGATCAGAACAGACCATTTTTCTGATAGTAATTGTTAACCTGTCCAGAGAAAACACTGTTTGAATACCCTCTCTAATTGATCCCATTGAAATCAGTCAAGTGGTCATTAAACTAGTTTATCGTTATGTCCAGCTAACATACTAAATACAGTTTGCCTGGATTTTACAATCTTCAGTTTTTTCTCTATTTCTCCCTCTTATGGAATAAAATTAAAGATCCCCTCAATTAACAGGGTGGGACATATATAATACTGTACATATTAACTGGCAATGATAAATTTCTTTGTATCAATCAAATTAGATTCCTATGGTCTTTTTTTCCTGGGCTCTGTAGTCTAGCCAAATATTAATTTTAGTAAGATTGGGTAAGGTCAGCTAGCTCAGGGGTCTCCAACTTTGGCAACTTTAAGCCTGGAGGATTTCAACTCCCAGAATTCCCGAGCTAGCTTAAGTCCCCCAGGCTTAAAGTTGCCAAGGTTGGAGACCCCTGAGCTAAATGGTCTTCAGAGGAATACAAATAGCATGTCATCCATGCAATGGTGCAAGTTTGTTCTGCAAATCCACTCCCATGTTTTTTTTCTGAATTTTTTTCTCTCCCTCAGTCTAGGCTCAGGGAGATCCCAGTTAAGTAAAGTTAATAATACAAGTTCATGTGGAGTTAGGATAAGGAAATATTCATCAGTATTGCTCTTGTCTTCATATTGACATCACGTAGGCAAAAGGACTTGCCATGTAGCTGTGCTTTATTTACTTGTTTTACAAGTTTTCTTAAACACCAATCCTTTTCTTGGGCAAAGAGGGAAGGGAAGGGAAGAGGCTCACTTCAAAAAAAATTCAGTCAGAAAACTTGGTGCATGTGAATCAATTCTAGCAGTTACACCTGAAAATTAAGTACAGAATGTACTGTGCAGGGTAAAAGGTCATAAAAATGGCTTGTATCCAAAATTCTCTACACAAACGAAAAAAAGTTCTCAGAGCTGTTCTGTGGACTCTGACAACAAGTAAAGAGATGAGGCAATTGATGTATGCCTCAGTTACTATCAAATTCTTACTTTCCAACTGGTGATCCTATTCTTCCTCATTTCTTCCTCATTTGCAACTTAAGCCCATGTTAATGTTTATATGCATATTTATTTAAAACATGAATATAAATCTGTTGGCTTTTTGCAAGCAGTGTTCTTAAAACTAAATCTGTTTGAAGATTCCTTTTTTGCAAATTGTAAACATCTGGGTCATATATCCCTGTGATGGCTACCTTGTTACGTATACTTTTTGTATGTAAAATTTTGAAAAGTGCAAATATGTAAAGGTTTTCAAATCCGTATAGGAAGAAATCACTTCCTATCATTGAGGTAGGGCTGGGAATATTCCCTGAAACCATTGCAAAGGCGTGACTTATCTAAGGATAGTTTATTGGAAAACACTTCCTCACAGTTGACTGAGCATTGAGCTGTAGGCTCAATGATTAACAAACCACAGTGGCTATGTTTATACAACCCCATCTCATCCCCAAAACTCAGTAAACACTGTGTTTACTGAGTTGGATGAACCAGGAGACAGTTGATCATTTTGAATCTGAGTAGATTGGATGTCCTGATTTAGTACCCAAGACAGCTTCCTTTGGTATCTTTGTGAACTGAACAAAATTTTCATAATATGTCTTGGAAACATAGGAATGGAATGTAGGTCACAAGATACCACATAAAAAGATACAGGCACACCATAATGTGACGCAAAGTATAATTAGAGATGACCTTGAACAATTAGAAGATCTTAGGATTTGTGAGCCTTGTTTTGACACAGTATAATTTCACCTGATCAGAAATAGCTCTTCTAGAAACAGAATATCTTTCTGCTAGCTAAACAATTGTTGGAACCAGGCCCATTTCAGTACAATATTGCTTCTTTTGTTTAAAGATGCATACTCTGCTTTTTCACCATGAAAGCCCTTGAGGGGGCCTTCAAAAACAGTATTACATCATGTTTAAAGTGTTATGCCCAATAGAGAAATCTAATGAATTGTGCTTGCCAAGTTAAAAAAAAAGTAGGAGGGGTGCCAGGGGAAATGTTTAATCATTAAGAACCATGCAATTAATTTAGATTACAAATACAAAATGCTTTATGCAATCATATCATCTTCAGAATCCATCATTTAACTCCTCAGAAGTGGAATGTTGTTTACAATTTTAATAAGAATACTTTGCCAAAGTAAGTTCCTCAATCAGTAGAAAAGGAAACTGAGATTTCATGGCCCAGTGGACCATAAATTGATTGACATCTGTGTTGAGTAATGTGCAATCCTTTTGGTGCTTAGCACTCCTTAATAAAATGTGAGGAATTTCAAAAAAATGTGATTTATGGTGTGAGTTGCAAGGAAAGAGAAGGAGAAGATGACTCCCATAAGATGGATTGATTCAATTACAGTTATGATGAATGTACCATTGGAAGGTCTGAAGGACCAGGTTGAGTACTATTTGTCCAGTTGAAAAAATATCTGGGTGGTTATAAAGAATTGATATTGACCTGATGCCACATAATCAGTTAATTCAGTCATGGCATTAAAAACTAAAAAGGCATTTAAAAGGCAGTTAAAAACTGCCTTTATGAATGTAATTCACTATATCTTTATTCAGAATCGGAAGTATTTTCCAAATCATTTCAATTCAGTTTAAGACAAACTAAATATTTCTTTCTGAGGCTACATGGCGTATAGTAGTGAAGTCACACACCTCTGGAAAGAATATTTATAGAATGCTTCCCCCGCCCCTTGTTTTGCTTTATTTTTAAGAATTAAATAGCAGGAAAACATCTGTCAATCCTAGCTTTCCAACAAACATTCTGTCAGAGGTTTCGCTCTTCTCAAAAAGGGCATCTAAGTGTAATATTACAGGAGGGATATATAAATCAGTCCTGAATAAGTTATGAATCAACTAGATTCCCTTAATTATAAGAAATAATAGCTATTTCCAAAGCACTTTATGGAACCTGAGGGTTTTTTTTCCCAAACAAAAGTAAAAATGTACACAACCACAAGCAAACTTTTGTTTAGATTAAAATGATATCTCCATGGCTAAGTTGAGTAATGTAAATAGTTCTCATTTAGCAACTGCATAATTTAGTGACCATTCACAGTTATGACAGTGATAAAAAAAACTTTGCAACCAATCCTCATATTTATGATCTTCACAAGGCTGTAAAGCAAAGAAAAGCTGAAGGAAGATCATAAGCACAGTTGTGTTTTCACTTAGCAACCACTTTGCTTAATGACTGAGTTGCCTGTCCCAACTGCAGTAGATAAATGTATGGGCAGATAACCCAAGAAGAAAAGTAATATTCCCAGAAAACTTTGGAATCTATTACATAAATCCTTCCTTCTTCCTGTAATAATGTAAAAATATAAGAAAGTAATGCAGTTAAGCAGCTTCAGAAATACTGGCTAGCTGCATTAAATTCTGGATTGTTGTGCAAAAGTTGCTCGTTTCCTATAGGCTTTTTTACAAAAAATATATTTGGCTATGGCTATAACAGGCATGAAATTAATTGTAATTGAAAATGAATCTGTGTCAGAATGTGATGAACTCATACAAGCTGGAAGGAATCATTAGAGCGTTGAGTCCAACCCTCTGGTTAACACAGAGATTGAAATTTAAACATTTCTGACATATGGCTGTCTAGTGTCCACTTAAAACAATTTCTGATGAAGGGAACCTACCACATCGCTGGGGAAATGGTTGTACTTTCGAACTGCTAAGCAAAAAGTAATTATAGAATTATGTTCCAGGTTACGAATTTCTCATTCTGTTCAGCTTTTACCTGTCTGTATTTGTCAGTGCTGTGATTTATCAATTATCACTTAGCAATTATTTTCATTCTGTGTACCATATCACCACAGAACAGAATTTAGAGTTACACACCCCTTTAATTGCAGCCTGCCAATCCATAATAATTAAGCTTTCACCTCTGTGACATAGTGTTTTTTTTTTTGTATTTTCAGATTGTACGTATTCTTTTTAGTCTTTTTTTTTAATCAATTCAAACCACAATGGGCTTCTTTAAATCTCCATAAGCTATCGTTATGGGTATGAATATATTTTGCTTAGTGCCTCAGTCCAGCTGAAATCTTGTGATCACTTCCTTGGACCTAAATATCACTTCAGAGATAATAAACTGATATTTGTAGTCCATATCAGTTTGACATATGCTCATCTGTAAATCCATTCCATCTAATTTCTGTTTTGATCAGCAATTTTTAAAAATTTCTACACAACATTGTATTACTCCAAAGAAGTATTCACGCTTCATTAGTTGCCAAATGTATTTTTGTCAAAGTTTATAATTCTATGTATCCCCAATTTTACAAATATTTGTATTTTTCACACAGAATTTCCTCACTATATATAAGACATTGACAATGAAATAATAGTTATGTTCTTTGTTAGTCCAGGACCATTAAAACCTAGACTGAATAAAATGTT